ACTGCTGATGCATTTGAGCAGCGCCAATATGCATCCTGCCTTGCGACTGCCCTGCCATTGATTGCTTCTTCTTTCAATGAAAAGTTTGATTTTTTTTCTTCTGAAAAAAAGGTTTTCTTAGGAAGCAGAGTCAGGCGTGAGCTCGAATCGACGAGACGCATGAAACGGTCCTGTGACGCTATAGGAACGGGAGGTCTACACATGAATTACCGTGTGAATCGTTGTCTTGTAACAAGAAAACATTAACGGCAGTTGCAGCGATCAAGTGGTCCGCGATTGCCTCCACGCATTTGGCATCGTAGTCCGCATTCGCAGAGAATATACTACTTTCGTCACTCGAAACGGCGAGATAAAGAAGCTAGAGACGCGTGATTATTGCAACCATTGCAACCACGATTACTTTCACTCTGCAAGACAACGGCTTACAAGCGGAGTCGCTTGTGTACATCGCGTTGTCTGAAGCGTCGTAGGAGATTCCCTAGGCTCTTACCGGATTCGCTTGCACGTCGAATCCTGATTGGACTTGCCGACGTCCTGTCAAACTCGTCCAAAGCGCCGGCCCCACTTCTAAGAGGGTATTTTTCCAGGGTGTTCCCAAGGTCTTCATAGCTTCTTTCCTTAATGAGTAGTTACTTATGGGTTACTGATCCAATGAGCACCTACTGCCTGTAACACTAAATCGCGAGATTACCTTTGATGCCGTCGTGTTTTGAGCGTCGATGGCCACTCTAACTGCATCCTCCGAGCGATGGAAGTGGTGCAATCTCTATGTGTGCGGAGCGGGCTACCAAATGCGCTGGGGCGTTTCCATAGATCACCAGACCGCAGGAATTGTCTTTAAGGCAACCACACGATTAGACAGAAACGAAGAGATTCCACAGTACAGAGGGAACACGTAAATGAAGTGATTTGAGCGATTTCAGGGTGTGGAAGAGTAAGTGGGGTGAAGTTCAGGGTGTGGAAGAGTAAGAGGGGTGAAATTGTAGATGGCTTACGGTAGCTGCACGAGTTGCGTACAATACACTTCCAACTTACCATTTACTCTTAGTCCCGCTGTGGATGTGACGTTCACTAAAGCCCCTCGCTGAGTGCGCACCGCTGTTAAGTTTCCAATGGAGCTCCTAGTTGGTGGGATGATCTATCCGATTCTCAGAGGATTTTCTCATCATTTCTCAGAGGAAAAACGTTTTGGGTGCCCACTGTGCTGTCTTTTCAGAAGTCCGATGAATTCATACATAAACGTGAGAGGGACACAAGAAGAAAAACTCATCTTCCATCCTGCGGCTTAGCGGCCGGCCTCACGGGGCATCGTAGTGATCAGCTACTCGTCTACAAAGTATACGGGAACTTGTGAGGTTCAGCCGATTTTCAACCGCTGTTTTAACTTTACACACGAATGGGCCACTATAGGAGCCTACTCGCGCTGTAAGCCCGCTACTTTTCTATATACCACCTCCGCAAACCTCAAATTATCAAAACTGCAACCTACTAAATTAGGTGTAGTGTATTTCACGCAGAATTTCGGGAGGTGAAGTTTTACGGATGGAAGTTTCTCGCTCCTCATAGAGAAGCCAGAAATTTACACGTCTATTTCCGCGAGTTCTTCCCAATAAGGCCTCGCGTCATCTTTCAAATTGTTCTTGCAATATCTATAGATTCCGATAAGGACCGTCAATGCCAATATATAGAAAAAAAATCAGCAAGTGCCCTATCCCTGATAAAGAGCTCGCTCGTAGAAAATGGACCTGAATTTGATATTATTGAACTTGGTGGAAAAACTACTGTAGGCCATGAATCATTTGCCACACATTACAATACGAAGCGACGGAACGGGAACGCATTTGAATGGTGGATTGTCCAAGCTTCAGTTGTTCGCACAACATGAGGAAATGTTCATATAGTCATCTTCACACAGATTATGGTCTGCATAAGCATCTATTGTGAAATGGACAATATTGCAAACTTCCTGTTGTATTCGATTTTCCCACGCTATCATGTAGGCTATATAGGCAAATAATCTGAATGATACCGGATCGCATATAAATTTCAGACCGCGAATGTCCTTATTCCAGGTTTCCGCGACTGAAAAGTCTCACATTTACCGGTTCTCCTTTAACAGATTGCCTTACAGTAGCTCCTTCTCTGTCCTAGCAAGCAAACGCGTTCTCATTTTCTATTCCTCTCAACCTCCACGCTGGAACGCTTTATAATGTGTTCTGACGCTCTTGGGCCACCTCCATGGAGTCTTCGTCGGTCCGTCTATGCTGCAATCTATGGTAGAATGGAGAAGAGCTAAGCGGTTTTCCTAGTCCGAAGAACCCTCCAGAGTAGTTGGATCCATGATCGACCCTCCATATGCCTCTGAAACCGCGGAGGCAGAGATTGTTCTTTTTAAAGCACACTAATGGCACGCCCGCGGTCTAAAATGGCGGCTAATGAGGCTCAAATGATAATAATGAGGTGGTAAGCAGCCTAGCACTGAAGAAAACGCAAAAAGCAAAGCTTTGAGAAGCTGTAGGTTGATCAGCTGCTGACCCGAGCTTGTACGAGCATAACGCGAAGAGAGGGCGGGCTCGAATAAGTTTTCACCTGCTGGTATAATATTGATATCAGCGCGTTTCCCTTATCACCTCACTCTGACCACCTGGAATGGGAAGAATTATTAGAAAGTAGCAGAAGAGTCGCGTCATCAGATAGCTATTAGAAAAGAGTGTTGGCGTAGCATCAGGCTGTGGGCAAAGGTATTGATGTTGTAGTGAGCATCTAGCGTCCTTATAACACATTTTCAAACAAAGAAAGTTGCACAGACTCTGTGCTCGTGGACGGACATTCTTGTCCAGCGCTAGCGCCTGCACATCAAGTGAGCCCGTGCCATTCAATGTAGCTCGGGACTGAAAATGGCTCCCTTCCAAGACACAAGCACTCTTATTCGCCGAAGATGATGGTTCGTGTCGGTGAGGATGAATTGGCGAAGGCCATTCTTTTTCACGGCTGGAGACAAGACTGCATCGTATCGTTTGCATCAGTCTTTGTTGCTTACGCGCTTCAGCATGTGGTGGCGAACGGGTTGGGGGAGGGTGGCCAAACTCAGCCTCACTGACACGCCCCATCATTCGCAGCGAAAAAGGCTGTACAGTACCTTGGTGAAAGGGAAGTGTTCATGAAGGATGAAAGCCCTTTTGCGTCAGAAGTTGCGGAATCGGCAGCAATGTAGAGAAGCGCATGGCTCAAAATAACGTTGGCACACCTCTCATCCCTCCCTGCTTGAACCGACAACTCCTGCTATCTGAGCGCTGAGTCCGTAAATACTCCCTATCCAGTGCAGAGACCTGGACAACGACTTCTACAAGCTGCGAAACATAATGTCTTCTAAAGACAAAACTTTTAAGGTGTTCAGTTCTGAGTAGCCATGAGAGCGTTGATTATCCTAATTTCAATCTTCGTTGGAACATGCTCGCACTATCATCATGGTCCCACTTCTCGAAGAAGAGAATACACCAGAAAGGTTGGTTGATCATTAGCCAGTCAGATTGCTTCAAGAAGTACGCATGCAACAGTTCAGCCCCATCTCCGGAAACCTTTCCATCAGTTTTGGGCAGACGGCTATGCGGATGTGGAGGTAAGACCACAAAGACAGCATTTCGTCCTAAGAGAGGTACCGTGACAGAACAGGTGACCTATGCCTTCCCTTTATATCTGCTAGAGTGAGACTGCCCTTCCAAGGAGCTTCAAAGCACAGCAGCACAAACTGATTTCTCACAGTTGCTGCGAACCGCGCTATGTTTTCGGAGAGCCTACTATTCTGAAGGGCGTTTTGCGAGCATACACGCATAGTTTGTAGCACTGCAGTTTTTCGGGGGCGGCGAGCGCAGCGCCACGAGCTCGCGTCCGGCTGCCTTGCTCTACCAATGGTGATCGAGCAATGATCGATGTAGGAAGGAATCAGCCACTTGGGAAGGCCGCAGATGGGAACCGCTGATTGCGACCCGACAGGTTGCGTTTGCCCATCTTGCACAAGCTGCGCTCGAAATCAGTCCAACTAGAAGCAAAGAAAAAAAACATTGGCAAAGGAATACACTCCAAAGCACAGATGATCCGCCCGGTATCGCAGACGAATAATCATTGTCTAGCCAACCCCTAGGCTCGTCAGTGCGACAGGAAAAGGAGTTGAGAAATAGGATAAAACGAGAGAAAATGTGAAAAAAGGTTCACATGCAAAATTCATGCAATCAAGATGAGGAGGAATTGTACAGAAAAATGAAAGAAGGGTATAACACGATGTGAGTATTAAATACGTGTAAGAGGAAGGAGAATGGATCGCTGTTAATAGGCTAAGCCCAGAGGAAAACACTGTCGAAGCGGATTGCAAGAAACTAAATCAAACAAATGTAGTGGTAGGAGGAGAATTAGTGTTGAACACCGCTGCCAATGAGAATACCTTCAACTAGTCTACTTATCTTTCTATAGTTATTTGCAATTGAGTATTTGTAACTTATAAATTTATTTCTTTACATACAACAAACGCTAGTAATAAAAAGATCTTCTTCGTAGCCATTTTCAAAAGACTCGTGACCATATCCGTCATTTTGCTTACGATTATATTGAAGAACGAACAGGTGTTTGCTCGAAATCAATTCAATGCAGGCAAATGTCTGAGATAGATATAAAGTATTGGCAAATTTTATAGCAGATTGCAATGCTTATGATAGCATTACAGATGAGAAGGCCTTTCACATTTCATGAAATTCTCGACAGGATCGGAAATCCCGAGATGTTCGATTATGAGGTACGCTGTCATGCATTTGTTACGGTACCTAAATATACGCATAATAAACTTCAATAAATGCTTTTCAGCCAAAATCATACAAACCGCGAGATCCTAGTGCGTTTTTCTGTTTACTACAGACCTATGAACCTGCTGAAGTGTAAAGCGTCTTTTCAGCACCGTCGTGCTTCCTGGATAACGGGATGACAGATAGTGTCAGAAAGAAGTTCCTCGATAAGCACAATGAGTATCGGTTGGTTTTTCAACAAAAATTCCATCTGAATTACCGACAGTGAGTTAAAGACAGTGCGCGATCGCCTTTGCAGTTTTTTGCGCTCAAAATAATTAAATCACAAGATAAGTAGAATTTCCTAGGAAAAGGAGCAAAACAACTTGCAGCAAGCGCTTTGAAGACCTTCAAGCAATAGTCCCGGGCGAGTTAACAAAATTTTAGAAAAGCTCTACGAAATGAGCCGCTCACTTGGTGGAGCTAATTTTCTTTCATACTTCCTTCTTTTCTTTCCTAATCAAACAATAAAAGCTAAAAATATCTTTAATACTTTACGAGATTTTCGTGGGAACACTTATTTTCTACTTTCAGCGCCATCAGAATAGCTAAGGGTTGGGAGGGAGGGGTTTCAAAAATGCCGAGTAAAAATGACTGCTAAGCAATTTAACTGGAAAAATGGTAGATTTTCTTGTCTCCGAGTTTCTTGAGTCCCATATCCTTCCTAGCAATCTGCTCACTGTAGTGAGCCAGTATGTATAGTTTGTAACATAGCAATCAGTCGTAAGCGGTTGAGGAGTGCGGGATGGACACGCCCCGGCTGCGTCGCTCTATCAATGGTGATCAGCTAGTTATCGTCTGGGGATGAAAACGACCAGTGGTGGCAACTCTGCAGTTAGGATAGAACTGTACCTCTTCTTCTTCCTCTTTTTCTTCTTCTTCCTAACGTAGTCCCGCCGGTATAGGGTCCGTTCCTGTGATCGACAACCGCCACTTTTCTCGATCTAGTGCATCTTCTCTGCGAGGTTGGCCACTTTCATGTCCGCATTTATGGTGTCCTTCCAGAGCGGTTTGGCCTTCCTGTCGGCCGTTACCATCAACTTCGAATCGATGTGCAGCATCAGCGATGGTATCACGCTCGAGGACGTTGCCATAATACTGAAGCCGCCTCTCTTGCATCTTCTTCTCTTCTTGGGGATCGGTGCGACACCATTCGGCAGATCGAATGACGTCGCTTCGTGTTCTGCTCGGAGTGAGTTGAAATGCTCAATGACATCCAGCATTCGCATTTGCATGGCGTGGAGTCGGCGCAGCACTTTTGGTAGCTCGCCAGCATTCGGATCCGTACAGTGCCACGGGTCGAACCATGGTCCGGTATATCTTCCATTTTGGGCAAAGAGGCATGCGCTTATCACAAAGCACACCAGTGATCCCCCTCCATTTCATCCATGCTGCATTGACTCTCATTCGTATCTCATCATCGACACCTACTCTGAAGCGGGACCCTAGGTAGCCTTCGCTCGGTCACGTTTCAGAGACGTACCGTTTCCTGATGTGAAGACGTAAGGGCCTATACTGCATAGCCGCGTCACCATGCTCTGTACTTGACGCCCCGCCCCTGCGAGTTCTCTTACTGACGTCCGCTGAGGACATCGTCGAGCATTAGAGCGAGTCTGAAGCAGCGTGTTGCAGATCTCGTGTGAGTGTGTCCATGATGAGGATGAATAGCAATAGCGAGAGGGCCAAACCTTGGTGAACTCTATTTTCTACAGGAAAGCTCTTAGATAAACCCGCAGCACAACGACTGGTGGTATTCATATACAGCATTCGAATCCAGTTGATAAGTTTTTCGGGCACTCTATGCTCGCGTAGCGCATACCATATTAGTTGGTGGGGAACGCGATCGTGAGCTTTCTCGAGATCCAAGAAATCTATATGAAGTGGTTTCTGCTTTTCCCCATGCTTCCATGATAAGCGCACGGCGAAGTTGCATCGCGTTTGTTCCTCGTCCCTTCACGAAACCGCACTGGTTGTTGCTCAAATCGATGATGTCGCGCAACTGTTGATCGAGGATTCGCTCGAAGATCTTCATGGTGTGGGAAAGCAAGCGTGTAGGGCGCTAATTAGAGCACTCGGCCGGATCTCATGTATTTGAAGATCGGCAGTAATGCTCGTAGCCCATTCTCCGGGTGCCGGGCCTGAATCAACAATTGCATTTATGAACTGTGTGAGCCACGGAGTACCACTCTCTCGCACCTCCTTCATTTTCCAGTCTGCTGCCGGTATGATGTCTGGCACTGGCGCTTTTTGGTTCTTTATGCTGTCGATCGCCTTAGTAACCTCTTCTACCGTGATGCATTGCACTGGATCTTCTGGAACTGGCGTCTGTGCGACTCCACGTTGGGAATCTCGTTGAAATGTTCCCACCAGCGATGCAGTATCTTTCGTCGTTACTGCCAAGCCGATCTCCATTGGAATCCTTTACGCACATGCTCAACGTAGTGCTCAACGTCCTTCGCTGCTTGGGCCCGTGCTTTCGCCAGTCTGTAGATGTTTTTCTCACCTTCCCTGGTACCTAGCTGATCATCGTATAGGGCGGAAGAGTGTTCCGCTTTGGTTACGGCCACAGACCTCTTTGCCTCTCTTCTAGCGGTGGTATACTTCCTCCAGTTCCCAGCGGTTTGTGTGAGCCAGGTTTTAGGCGCTTTTTTCCATCACTTTCTAGCCTTCACTTCTTCCGTCTACAGCCACCTTCGTTTGTCGATTCGTCGATCGGGTTTCGTAATTCCCAAAGCAGATTCAGCAGCAGTCCTAAAGGATCTGCTAAACATTGTCCACAAGTCCTCGACCGGCCTGCCATCGGCTGGAGGTAAGCTGCACGCGCGGGCATTCGTCGCTTCCTGTCCCCGCAGTTTCCACCACTTGATTCGCTCTGATCCCATAGACCGGCCGGTGTCGCTTCTACGCCTGACTACCTTCGTATTCACAGCGAGCATCTTATGTTGTGATGCCAAACAGTCTGAGGGACGACCTTCGCATCACTGACAGAACAAAGGTCTCTCCTGCGGACCAACATGAAGTCTGTTTGACTTTTCTGCCCACCGCTTGCATATGTAACTATTGTAGGAGGTTGTCCGGAAAGTTCTCAGCGTTTTGTGCACCTATTTTTTGTACATTCACTGCTGATTAAAAACTCATTCTGCCTTGCTTCTCAGTAGCACATCCTGTAGAGAATTTCTTGCGCTATCTGATGGTATAATTGCCTTAGCTTGATAAACCCCCTTTTTTC